AAATGTTCAATAGTGGATGTGGGGACCCACAGACCCATCCCCACAGGACATGATGGTAAAGAAGTTAATAATATGCTTTATCCAAGGAGCCAGCAGACTGTTTGAATTTAACTTCATCCATCGCTGAACTCTCATCTTGAGCAAGCACAGAGGCAACAATGGAAAGGAAAAACTCCCTCATGAGGAAGAAATCTCCAGCAGAACCAGACCCAGGACAAGCAGCCATCTGCTTTAACTGGCTGGGCCTGAGAGAACAGGAAGGAGAAAATGAACACACAATGGCAGGTCTAGGATGGAAGCCATCAGATATTTTCTAGGAGGAAAATCAAAAAGACAAATCACATTAAGAAAGAATAATTACAAATACAAACTATTCATTTGTATGCATTTAACTATTTATTTGATGAAATGAGGTCAGCTTGTCCTCTAGTAGTCTAAGGTTATAGCAGCATAGGATAAGGAATAGGTCAGGAAACCAAGTCTACTATCTATAGGATTTATCAAAAAGGAAAGTCTTAAGCCCAGTCTTCAAACTGGACAATGTGTCAGCCTCATGGACAGAAACTGGAAGTTGGTTCCACAAGAGAGGAGCCTGATAACTGAAAGATCTTCCCATTCTGCTTTTGGAAACTCCAGGAACCGTAAGTAAGCTTGCAGTCTGAGAGTGAAATGTTCTGTCGGGAAAATATGGAACAAAAAGATCTGTAATATAAAATGGAGCTAGGTTGTTGAGCGCTTTGTAGATTAGAAGTAAGATTTTAAAAAGACAACTTTAAATTCTTAAGAATGGCCTATAGCTGCTAAGCATAGTTAACCCGTCACAGAAAAACAAAAACAAAATGGGTCAAATTTAAGCATAAGAAATCTAACTGATAATGTCACAAACATCCGTCTAGTATGTTAAAGGCATAGTCTGGTAATTTTTGAAGTGATGCTCTGTCAAATAATTAATAGTTAGAAGAGTTAGAGATATGAGACTGAGGGCAAAACAAAAGTCTTTGTTCAAGTATGGCTAATGGCAAGCCCAGAGGTGTTCAATTCTGGTCCTCGAGGGCCACTATACAGCAAGTTGTAATTATTTCTCTGCTCCTCTGCAAGTTTTCAAGTACTGTAAAAGTCTGGTAATCACTCATTCATTCTAAAGCAGGTGTGTCAAAGCAGAGAAACATCTACATTATGCAGGATAGTGACCATTGAGGACCAGGATTAGGCACCTCTGGACTCGCCAAACGAGGGATTTTAAAAAAATCATTTTTCGACCTTAAAAACAACTGTATGATTTGCATGAGATGTTTGTCACTGTTCTTAACCAAACAATGATGTTTTACTACATAAATGTGTGCAGAGCTTGGACCATGTATCGTCTAATGCTTAGAATGCATCGTCAAACTGGAACTGAAGCTTTCCTACTTGTCATTTTGAGTCACCAGCTAAACTCCAACAGTTACGGCGCCAAGAGATACTGGGTTTAGGTGCACACGATGGGGTGACTGTGGCTTAGTGGTTAGAGCAATCATCCTCCAATGCAAGTGTTGGGGGTTCGATTTCACCAGCAGTCACATGCCGAAGTGTCCCTGGGCAAGACACTGAACCTCTCATTGCCTCCGATGTGTGTCCCATCGGTGTATGAATGGGATAAAGCCCTGATTAGTCTTTGTAGAGATCTAGTAGAGTGCTGTATGAATGGGTAAATGAGGGCACAGATTATATTGTAAAGGGCTTTGAGTATCTTGATAAGATATAAAGGTGCTATATACTGTAAGTACAGTTCATTTATGATGTGACAAAACCAAAGGAACGTGGAGTAAATGTTGCTGACTATGCCAAATTTAACATCCAACGTGTACACAGCAGCAACCATATGACATTGCGAAGATCTTTATTTAGGAAAACACCACTGATTTGTAGCTTTAACAAAAGAAAGGCACGTAATGAAAGAACAGTTGCGGCATGACAGTGAAATGTTATTGGGTATACTGAGGTACTGGTTTACGGAACAGTTTAAAGTCACTATGTTCATGCTAAGGAATTTTCAACAGGACCAATAAATCAGTGGCAATTTAGCATTTCTAGAGATCACTACACATGTTCTACAGTATCAGGTACAGTAAGGGGTGATTAATTTATTGTGCTTACATATCTTTAAAAAGTTTTGAATTGATATCAGTTTTTTTATTTAGAAACAATCTTGCTTTTTGTACATTTGTAACACATACATCCGTTCCCTGTAGAGCAGCAGACCATGTCGCAGGAAAACTCCCACTTGTACCTCCTACTTTCTGCATGATGAATGGACTTCTCCGTCAAGCGTGAACAACAAAGCCATCTAACCTCCAACCTACATGTCCCTGTCACTTCTACAGGAGTACGTTATAGAGTCCAGTGCACAAAGCAGACAATAGTTAATAAATGCATCGGAGTGAGAACTTGTAGGAGCAAAAGTGCTTTAAGCTTATCTTAAATACAGAGATAAGTTGTATATTGTGAAATACATTTTTTGTGGTATAACAAAGTTTTCTACACACATTTTATGATAGGCACACTTTTGGGGCATTTAATACATTGCGAATGAACACCATTTTCATTTTGTGACCTATTTTTGCTGCAACTATTTTAGTAACTTGCTGCCTTGAAATTGTGAAGTTTGTCTCTGGCTAGTGACGAAGACGTCATGCATCAAGTGCTGCTGACACACCCGATCAAAGAAAAAGCAAATGCACTGATCGCTGCTTCCCGCAGACCTGAACAAATTTGAAAACACTTGAAACATGAGTACCATTACTTTCGGCCATTTGTAAATTCAACAGCTCTTCAGCCTGTGCACTCTGTAATTAATTTAAAGCTTCTTTATTTATTCACATGTTAAGGTGTCTTCCTCACCAGAGACCAATTAAATGATAAAGCGGTGCTGTTACAGGTTTATGTAAATACTAGCTGCAAGAGGCTTGTATTGATAAATGACATAGAATTATAAAACAGTAAATAACTGCGGGTGGTGAGCGTTATTTCCTTTTTTTATTTGATAAGGTTGCAGAGGAAAATGTTGCGTCTTAGGGTGGGTAGAACACCTTTTTTTCAAAAGCTGTTACATTTAAACAGGATAGAAGAGGCCAAAATAAATTACATAACGAAGGGGAAACGAGGAAGAAACCCTTTACATTGTGTCTAAACAGCTTGTTCAGCTGCGGACACTGAGTGAAAAATGGAGTCTCTTATTGTGGCAGCCAACGTCATTAAAGTTGCATTAAGCAATATTTTCTTACATTAACAATGAATCCGATGGTTCCCTGAATCAACACCCAATTTTGCCTTTAGCCATGCCTTTTTAAGCTGATCCTTCTGCCTTCTCATAGCAAGAAAATCAAAGCAACACTGGTTCATGTAAAAATCAAGCACAGCAGCTCTCAAACCATATGGCTCACATTAACCATTTATACACAAGCAGACCTGATAAGATGCGACTGCTAAAGAAAGTTCAACATTTTGAAAGCCAAACAGACAGAAAGAATTAAAGGAATAACTTCACTCTGACACATCTCCACAGGGAGCTGCGAGGTAATACTTGTTAAGATTTGTCATGACGGCAGTGAGAGATGATTACTGCAGTCACAGAAATTACTTTTGCCCCTCTGTCTGTCACAGATCACTATTTTTACTTGTTATTACCTGGAGAACACAGTTTTTGGCTGTACAGGTGCGATTAGGGGAAAAATATACGAGCAGATTTTAAGACGTTGCACATTGTATCTGTACAATGTTCTATTTTCTCCTGGAACACCAGTTTTTATGTGTACTCACTGCACGCTTGGACATCCAGGTTCAGGTGCAGCTCGCCTATGCGTTTTTTGACAGTTCTTCTTCTCTTATTTGTAGTATACTTTGTACTTTTTTTTTTTTTTTTTTTTTTTTTTTTTTTTTTTTTTTTT